AGTCTGCTAGGATTGCAGGGTCGGTGTGAGTAAAGTCGACCACTTTTTTCTCTCTCAAAAAGGTATCGCTAACTCCTGACCCATCAGTAGCGCGGTTAGTCCCTATCCATCAGTCAAATGCATCGTGGGCACACTGTCGGGGTTCAATCTCCTGATGAGTCAGATAAAGTCCGACACAACGGTCTGACACAGTCATGCCTTTGTGTTTGTGGAGTTGTGTATAGCGAACATGACAGCACACACACACACACACAGACACACACACACACACATACAAACACAGATAGAGACAGGCACAGGTAGTGGATAGGGAGAGGGAGACCGAGAGAGAGAGAGAGAGAAAGAGAGAGAGAGAGAGAGAGAGAGAGAGAGAGAGAGAGAGAGAGAGAGAGAGAGAAGGGTGAAAAGAAAAAGGGGAACCCCACACCCCGGGAGCCGGCTCCAGTGGACATCGCCATCGGGGGCTCACATCTGGCGAGCGGGAAGGAGCATCTCCTCTTCCTTCCTTCCCGCTCCCTGAGGTTATGTGCGTGAGGTCCAGACATGAGGTCCAGACGTGAGGTCCAGACGTGAGGTCCAGACATGAGGTCCAGACATGAGGTCGTGAAATCCAGACATGAGGTCGGGATGAGGAGAAGGGGAGATGACGGATTCGCAAAAGCAAAGGATGAGACGGAAGGCAAGGAGAGGATAGGAAATATGGTAAGAATAGACGATAGGAAGAAAGAAGAAAGAATATGGTAAGAGTAGACAAGAGGAAGAAAGAAGAAAGAAGCATTTTCAATCAAGGGGACATATCCCGCGTCAGTAAGGGGGCATGCCGTGTTGGAGGAGGGAGGAGAGAGCAGGGAGGAGCGAGCAGGGAGGAGGGAGGGGGGATTAAGGGGGCCGGGGGGATATATTAACCTACCCTATCACTATCGCCCGGCTACATTCAGGTCCAGGTTCATTCGTACCAAAGTCGATATTATCCTCTCTCTCATTTGCCACGTAATGCAAGCCCCCCCCCCCCTCTCTCCAAGTCAGCTCGTGCACTCACCTCCGGACAGCTTGTCGTCGTGACCCCCAGTCAGCCTGTCGTCACCCACACGTGCCGTCCTTGCAACCCCCTCTACCTCCTCTCTCCCTCCTCTCCCTCCTATCCCTCCCCTCCCTTTCCTCCCTCGACTCCACCTCCTATCCTTCCCCCGATGTAAAGCCGGTCGCTTCGCCTCACTCCCTCTCAGCTTGCCAAGTCGGCAAAAGACATCTTCAGCTGCCGGCTAGCGACCAAGCCACGTCCTCCCTTCCCCCTCCCTTTCTTGCCCCCCGCGATTACACGTGTCCGCCGTGCGTCTCATTTTCCCTCCCTGTGCCCCCCACTTACCGGCGTCTGCGGACGAAATTGCGTTCGAGTCCCTCCGTTACTTCACTTCTACTACTCCGTTACTTCACATCTACTGCGGTAAGCACCCTCCTTGACAGACTCCAGATTTTTCAATCTGCATCCCTCCTACCCGGCGTCATCTGCGGACGGAATTGCGTTCAAGTCCTCCGTTACTTCAGTCCTTGAGAGGATTGAGATTCCTCCCTCGGCCTCCCACCTACCCGGGTCCGTGGGGAACTGGGGCCAGGGCACGTCGGGGAACTGCCTCGAGGTGTCCCGCGCTCCGCTGCGGAATTCCTCGTTTCAAAAAAAACGAAAAGAATTTCTCGTTTCGAAATTCCTATAGAGAACGCCCTGGGAACGGAGCGAGCGGCGTTACCGGGCGACTAGCGTAGCGCTCCGCTATCGCCGTCACCTGGCGCGGTTAGCGCGCAAGGTGCTACCGGGCCGTTCACCTCGCCACTGCGACGAGGCACGGAGGAGGCCCTGCTCTCTCTCTCGTCGAGAGTGGGGCATAGCCCGCGATGCAGGAGCTCTCACCCTGGTAGTCCGTCTACATGTAGGGTTAGGGCAAGATGGGCTATGGTGAATGGTTACTTTCCTTTTAAGATGATGCCTACTGAGGTAACAAACCTTCCAGGTGTGGTCACAGAGCCGGCCAGTGTCGGATTCTACCTCGTATCTCCGAGAAAAATGGACGAAACTTACGCCGCCATATCCGGACTTATCGGACCTCGCGTTCTCGAGTGAATAATGCTGACATAGGAGGTAGATGCACTGTTGCTCGTTCACACCGGGGGAGACCAGGTAATAGGCAGTCACTCAATTTTCAAGATGCATCCTTACTGATGTAACAAGACTCGCCAAGTGTGGTAAAGATAGAGGCAAGGGTTGGACTCTCCCAATGGCATGTATTTCCGTAAGTGAACCCCCGGAGTCTGCGCCGCCATATCCGGAGCCCTTGGCCATGTGTTCCAGAGGTCGGGTAGAGTGGCATAGGCGGTAGATACACCAGTGCTAGCGTTTACCGAGTAAGGCCAGGCGTGGGTTACTCTTGCATCAAGTGATACAATTACTGAAGTAACAACAAAGGTCAGGCGTCGTAACTGAAGCGGCCAGAATAGGCCTCGGCTTCGTATCTCCGTGGAGAAATGTCCGAGTTTGCGCCACCATTCCGGAGGCCTCGAATCCCGATCCCCATGGTTTGGGAACTGACGAAGTAGGTAGTAGGGCACCAATGCATGGTCATACGCCAGCAGCCGGGAGATAGCAGGTGATAAATCTCGGTGCAGGATATGTTCACTAAGGTAGCATGGTGCCGACATACCCCATACTCCTGGACCGGAGGCGCGGATAAATCCGATTGTTTTCCGATCGGAGTTCCAACCTAAAGATGGAGTAACCTCAGCCATCTCGATTGGTAAAATATGGACAAATCTCGAATTAACCAGAGTAAAATTCCCAATCTGATGTTCGGGGAAAGTTATAAGTTTCCTCCGGGTTTCGCGTACTCGAAGTTAGAGGAGGTAAATTCACCTTTTATTCGGGATGAGCTTTGCACTGAACGGGATTGGAGTTGGCAAGTAATTCGGGAGCTCGGACAGGGTAAATTCGAGATGGTAAGAGGTAACTATAGTAACTAGTGGGGTACGTACATATTTCACCAAAACAAATCGCCTGGAGATAGGTTAGAAGGTTCAGGACTAGAATCCCGAAGTGACGGCAGGAAGTAACCTCGTTACGAATCTGAGATCGAAGTGGAATTTTTACCGCACCCACTTAGTTCACGGACGGAAGTGCGGGGTGCATTTTGTCCGTCACCCCGCCGGTAACTGTCGCCCTAGTGTATGATAGATTCGCCGTGTAATGGCAACAAGGATCACAACAAAAGCAGCTTCTCTTATCCGCGGTCACTTCATAGGGCTCCAGGACACCTGGATCACAACGCTGCTCCAAGGGCACATCAGCAAGGAAGCACGTGGGAACACAATCACACAATGGAGTTCAGTCAGACACCCGCATCCAATCACAAGCGGAACGCAACACAGTAAATGGATAGAATCAGAGTTGTCGCCTGGAATGTGCGGGGGTTAGGGGACTTGAATGGTAGAGCCAGAAGGAGTCGTGTGAAGAGCTGACTTCACGAACGGAAGGTCAACGTGGTTTTGCTGCAGGAATCCAAGCTGAATGAAGAAAAACTAAGGGACATTGCACTTTGGTGGGACGGCCCGCAGGTTTGGGCCTCGGTCTAGGGCACCCGGGGAGGTGTGGGCATCTTGTTGCACCGGAACCTGCAGGCACAGGTGATTGATTCAGAAACAGACATTTGGGGGAGATGGGCCTGGATGAAGATTGGGATAGGGAGTGAGGAATGAGCCATCATGACAGTGTACGCCCACACGGACGTGGGGAGGAGAGCTACCTTCTTCTCCAAACTGATGCTGCAGGTCCCCAAGGCGGATAAGTTCTTGATTGCGGGGGACTGGAATGTGTCCTTGGACGAAGCATTGCGGGTTAGTTCGCAGTCAGCAAACAGAAAGGACGCTCTAACGTTGTTAGACTTCAGCACAGAATTGGACCTCAGGGACCCGTTCCCGATCCTCAACCCAGACGACCCAGGGTATACCTGGACGTCAAACCTCCAGCTAGTAACGAGAAGGCGACTGGATTTTTTTCTGCTTGCGGATCAGCTAATGGAGAGAGTTACCGCAGTGCGCCAAGAGGGGAATCCAGTGTCGGACCACAAGCCGGTGGTCGCGGACATTAAGCTGCACTTGGGGATGGCGAGGGGCAGGGGTTTCTTTCGTGTCAACAACCAGATCTTGAGTGTGCCAGGGGTAAACTTATGGGTGTCCAATCACATGTCCAGCTGGGAGAGCACTAGACCGCTGTTCAGCTCAACAGCGGAGTGGTTTGATGGAGGCATAGCCATCTCTTCAGGGGTACTAGACGTGATTTCCAGGATCCTGGCCAAATCCAGGAACAAAGAAGAAGCGGATTGCAAAAGGAAAGTGGAGGAAGCAGAGGACCGCATGGGGGGCCATCCAATCTCAACAATGGTATGGGCAGCGGAGCGGGAAAGGAGGATGGCGGATTGGGATGTCTTGCAAGAAGGAAAGCAGAAAAGGTGGTCAGATCTGCTCAAAGAGAAGGGGATCGAGGTGCACGACAAGATGTCGAAGGAGACCTTTCGCAAACTGTTGCCTAGCAGGAATCAGCAACAGATGATCGCGTTAAAGCACCCCTTCGATGAGTCGGCCCCTCCTGCGTGCACAGCAGCAGGCATGCTCCAATATGCAAGTCTCTACTACAAGGACATCCTCACGACTAGAAGACCACTGAACAACGTGAACTCGGACCTCTCCAGGGAATCGAACATGTGGGAAGACACTACAGCAAGGCTGGGTACATCTGCAAAGTTAGATTTGGATAGACCCCTCACCCTAGAGGAATTAACACAGACACTCAAGTCTATGGCAAAGGGAAAATCCCCCGGAGTGGATGGGCTGACAGTAGAATTTTATGTTGCAAACTGGAGGGTCTTCGGCCCCTTGCTAGTGGAACTCTACAACGAAATCCTAGTAGGGGGTCGCCTGGGTAGGGGCATGACGCATGGAGTGATTGTTGTTCTATTCAAGAAGGGGGACAAGGCGGAGGTAAGGAACTGCCGCCCGATATCATTGCTGAATGTATCATACAAGATCCTCGCAAAGTCTTTGGCGCGTCGCCTCTCCAAGTTCCTCCCGGACCTGGTGGAGAAGGATCAGGGGGCCTTTGTTCAGGGTCGCTCAATTTTTAACAACATAGTAATGGCAGTTGAGACTCTGGAGGTGGTGCAAAAAGAGAACTTGGACGTAGCGGTGCTCCTCCTGGATCTGGAGAAAGCATACGACAAAGTGGGGCTTACCACGTTGAGAAGGATGGGTTTTGGAGAGAACTTCTGCGCCTGGATCATAGCCATGTACACCCACGCCTCATCAGCGGTCATGATAAATGGTCACCTCTCAGAGCCGTTCCCACTGACAAGGTCGCTTCGTCAGGGTTGCCCCCTGGCCCCTCTTGTCTTCGTGCTGCAGATGGAAGTGCTGCTGAACAAGATAAGGCAGCATTCGGACATAAGAGGACTGCAGCTGCATAACGGGGAGGACTGCAGAGTGAAGGCGTTGGCGGACGACCTCTTCGCAGTAAGCAAAAACACAGCAGGATCTCCGACCGCCTTGAAAACGGTAATGCGAGACTACTCTCGCCTGTCGGAAGCCTCAGTTAATTGGAACAAGTCCACCTACCTGCTGTCGGCCCAGTTTGAACTCAAGGTAGAATGGGGGATGAGGAGAGTGGAGAATGGGGAGGAGGAGCGTTTTTGGGGGGTATTGATCAGCCTGCAAGTGGGAGCAACCTCCCAAGGCCTTCTCCTTCAGCAGCGAATCACAGCTCGCCTCAGAATCTGGGGCACGGCTTGGCACCTATCCATCATAGGGAGAGCTTTGGTCTCCAATGTCGCGGTGTTCTCCATCCTGTGGTTTGTCTCCACAGTAAGGGAGTTAGCAGCGGGCGTCGTTAAGTTCATCAAGAGGTTAGTAGCCAGATTCCTATGGAAGCCGCACACTCAAAACAACGAAGGTTTCATATCTAAAGTTGCGATGGAGTTGCTGACATACCCCAGGGAAAAGGGGGGTCTGGGACTCATTGACCCCGGCGAAAGAACCAGGCTCAGCTGAGAGGCTGGGTAGCAAAGGTTGCCACAAGATCTGAGTCGGAGCACTGGGTACTGCTTGCTGAACGCATCCTGATGTCTGATTGGGGACTAAAGAGGGCAAAGGATGTCTGGGCATGTTTTTTCATTCCGTCATTCAAAAAGAAGAGACTCAAGTCTGCATTTTGGGAGGCAATCCGCAAAGCATGGCAGCAGGCCCCGCCTGATATGCAGAGCACTCCAACTACCAAGGAGGAGGTCCTGAACCAGATTTTGTTTGAGAACCCATATATCACCAAACAAAACTCTGGTCCGTTCCCTGCGGATGGATCGACAGGCAGCTTTGGGTAAGCTTGGGTCAAGCGGGGTATAGTCCGGATCGAGGATCTGTGGTCCCTTGCCCTAGGGGGATGGAGACCGCTGTCGGAACTCAAGGAATCGTTAAGAGGGCTGCAACTAGTAGAGCGACACTGGCGAGAAATCATTAACTCTATTCCTCGTATGTGGTTGGAGTTGCTAGGTCCAGAGGGTCTAGACCCGCTCGGGTTCTGGTACGTTTCAGATCAGGAGCTGGAGGGCAACGTGCTGTGGAAAGTGAAAGAGATACTTCAAAGTGGTTTCCGCATAGTAGACCGTTGACGCTGTTCCGGTCCATTCAATGTCCTAGATTGGATAGAGGAAGAGATTGTAATGCAGTGGGACGACCCTGCCCAGGTCCGGGTAGTGGAGTGAAAGGGTAAAGGATCGCTGTCGAATAGGCTCACCTGGGTAGGAAAGACCCCTCTGCGACAACTCAGCATTGATCCGCTGGCTTGGGGCTGGGTCAGCGGAGGGTCAGAGAAGCCCCGCTCAGATTGCTAGAGTACACAGTGGCGGAAGGATACCAGCAGTCCGCAAGACAGATCAAAGAACCAGTGCAGGTGGCCACCTCACGTTGGCAGGCGGTCTGGGGCGAAGAGCTGACGAACGCGAAACAAGACTTCGAGAGATTGTGGAAGGCACTKACCCTACTCCCYAATGGGAAGCARGTAAGCATCCTCTGGCTYCTTTCCCTGATGGYGACCCCGTCGGCAGTCTGGCTCCTAAGCAAGGGAATGGGGGTGGAACCTGGCTGTACCAGGTGCAGATGGYCGTTCGAGTCCACCCGGCATCTGTGGTGGGACTGTCCARCATCCAAAAGGATCTGGAACTGGTGGACCCACCACTGGAGGGAATTCGGAGGACAGGAAGTGAACTGGGATGAAAAATGGGTGTTGCTGGGCTTTCTTCCTCCAAACACAGTATCCCACAGGGGATGGGGTTATATGGCTCACGTGATCAGGGGACTGATCTGTGAAGTCATTTGGACGGACAGGAACAGGTCGAGATTGGGGTTATATGGCTCACGTGATCAGGGGACTGATCTGTGAAGTCATTTGGACGGACAGGAACAGGTCGAGATTCCAGAGGAAATACATGTCGGCTCTGGAAATCAAGTTCATGATAAAAAAGGTCTGAGACACGCTATACTGGTGGACTGGAGAAGGAAAGCAAAAGCAGGGAAAGGTAGTCCACGTCAGTTGCGCTGGTTTCGAAGGACGTGGGGAATGTGCCCACAACTTGCATCTCTACATCCGCTCAAGGGCTTGATCCTCGCTGAGTGGCTGCTGGAAACAGATAAGGGAACCAAGAATTAGTGATAGAAGTTAGACAAGCCTAGCCTCAACTGGTTATAGTGAGGCTAGGCGGTACTGGTTCTTGACAGGATGAATAGGGAGGTAGTTGTGCGCCCAACCAGGGAACTCGGTTGAGTAAGGCCACCGTGGGCCGCTAGGAGAGTGTCAGTAGGGCCGGACCGCTCCGGGTCCTCGGGGCCGTTTTAGTCCCTGAAGTGGGTGAGCCTTCAGGCAGGCGGTGCCAATCCTGCATATCGAAGTTTTCAATGCTAAGTCTCTGTTCTACTTTAATGTCAACTGATAGACCTTTTAAGCATTCACGAGTTTGCGGGGGGTTAGGCAGGTTGTCGCCAGTATTTGCTATGTTTAAAGCTTGCAAGTAGAATACAGACAGGTACAGGTTAGGACTGGAAGTCAGCTAGTCTGACCTCCGCAGGTGAAAACCTGTAAGCTAAGCTGGCTGATGCTGTCAGATATCTCCGGGTTGATTTGTGAGGTTCCCGACCTCCTTCCCGTATTATTAATGAACTGTTGCTTAAAAAAAAAAAAAAAAAAAAAAAAAAAAAAAAAAAATCCTATAGAGGGTTGAGAAAAGAATATGACGGGGGAGCGTTGGTACCGGGCGAATAGCGGTAGCGCTCCGGTAACTGCGCCACTACGCGTTTCACCGCGCGTAGCGCTGTTTACCCGTGAGCCTCGCCGTCGTGACGAGGAACGGGACGAAGGACGTGCGCGCCTACCTCTGTGGGTGGAGGCCATGCCTCGAAGCACTGTTCCCTTCTCGAACAGTCCATAGCGTTGGTAGGGTAAGTCTTATCTCACTCCATAGCCGCTGGTTAGTTGACATGGCACAAGAGAAGAACTCGGGATTACCAGATGAACGGTGCTCTTATGAATGATGGTCTGAAGTTCAAGGAATGGGTTAGGGTTGTTACCATGGTAACAACGACAACTTACCTCTCGCGACCCAACTGGTTTCGTTGTTGGGTACGGCTCACGCTTGGAACACGCTCCGCTTGGCTACAATCATTCAAACCACAACCTTAGTTATAGCAGGGAGTATGAGGAACCGATCATTGTCCGTGGATGCAGCTCCTTTGCACTAAATCCTACCTCATGTGAAAGTGGGCACGATTGATTTCTTATCCACCCGAGTCATAGTCATAACAGAGCTTAGTGGGAATCGACCATCGCCTACAAGTACAACCTTACTCAATGTATCTCCGCCCATGGAAGCTCTCAATCCGGAGATAATCCCCATTTGCGAGATTGATTTAGCCAAGACGCACATACCATCCTCAGGGCAGATTCGTGGGTTCGGCCCTCAAGTAAGGAGATAGGTATTGGAAGGTAATTAACTACAACCGCCACATCGTCAATGGTGAGTCTCGGCAAAGGAAAAATTAGGAAGACCGGCTCAGTACATTCTCAATAGCGGATTACCAACATCTGTCCGTGCCTTGCTTCGGATACTTGCTTGCTGCGGATTACCAACATTTGTCCGTGCCTTTCTTTGGACACTTGCTTGCGAGTAATAGAGCACAGTCCAAGGGGGTAAGGGAAATCTGGGGACTCGAAAGATAGAGGAAGGATTAGCGTTCGGCAATGTCAACAAAGGAGGGAGGAAAACAAACCGATACAACGCCGTCTTGACTGCCGCTCGTTATCGCTGTGAGAGCCGCCACGTGCCGCGACAGGAAAGAAGAGGTTGTTGAGCCCCAGTCACAGGGACCTCCCACATGCATAACCTTCCGCTCATACAGATGGATCCGTACGCACAGCTCAAGGTAGCAAGATTATTTAATCAGCACAATCGATCTACTGCCTGCTGGTCTCCTTCGACATACGGAAGGAACGATCTTCCCGGGTGATCCCATTTGCTAGTCTGGTTTGTCTTTCACGGTCTAATCCACCAGTCTACAGGCAACGAAGAGAGAGTGACACGGCGTCAACAGAAGCCGAGCTACTCAGAAGATGGAAGGAGGCACGGGACCAGGGATTCCGTCAAGCGCCGGTCGGTACATCCCGCCAAGCCGCAGAACTCCAGGACAGCAGCAAGAAGGAATGGGGAGAGGTGCAGCCTCGAATGCAGCAAGAAGCTCGGCGCCACCAATACAGTCAAGATCACAACAGGGAGCGGAGGATCGGGTTCAAGAGTCAGTCAGCAGATGCTACGACGAAGGCATCTGCCCGAATGAACTGGGACTGGGGGAGGTCGTTGAAGATGAAGAGGGAGGAAGGTTTGTAGTGGATGAAACTGTGGACATTATTAAGGAGAATTGGTTGAAGGAAATAACAGTAATCCTGATCTTTCAAGAAGAAGCAAGAAATCTCTCAAGACAGGTCAAGGAGGATCTGATCAGAGCCTACGAAGATGGGTGGATGTCACAACAGATATTTGATCCTGACACGAGAAGAGGCAGAATTCGTTTCGAAGGCCAAAATGTTGTTTCATACGTGGCCAAGGCAAAGGAAGTTGCAGACTGGATGCTAAGATCGAAGGAGGCAAAACTAAAACTGGGAAATAAAGAGTACCTTACAATATTCAAGCCTTGGATGCCACGTCAGGAGCTTCGGGACATGAAACTGCAAGATGCGGAAAAAAACTTATGGATTGTAGCCTTGAGAGTACAGCTAGATGCTTACTACTACTTAGGCGAAGCAGTCGGAGGGATGTTCGGGGAAGTGCTGGAGATGCACCCCCCCGAATACGATAGAACACGACCGAAGTTGATGAATGTCAAGATGGACATGCACCCATATGCAAGATTCAATGTTGACGACGTGCTGGTGATTGAATCCCCTAAAGGTGAAAGATGGAGAGTCGAGATAGCTACTCCATTCACAGATTGGTGCAGGAAATGCAAGTGGTATTTCCACACAGAGGAAAACTGTCCACGGTTGCAACAAAATGATGAAGGAAGAAGGGAAGGAGGTGCTCGGGCAGGTGGACACAAGGAACGCTTCCTTCAGCACACGCTGAACAGGGTTCCTCGAACAAGGCGGGAGGAGGGGTCAGATAATACACGAGGCCACAGGCAGGACAAGGAGGTAGGGGCCAATGAGAAAGACAGATCAGTCAGGAGTGAAGGACAGGGGGCTCAACAGTCCGCCCCTGTGAGGCGTACCTACAGCCACCCAAGCCGTAACTCAAGTCATTAGGGTGGTCACTCAGCTCCTACACACGCAGATAGAGGGCAGGAGGCAAGAGTGGCCCCATAATTTTGAGGGGGAATGCAGCCTTCACATCCATCCCTCTTGCCCACATGGGAACAGCGGGGAACCTGGCCGATATCCTCGATCCCAGAGAACTCTGGTCCCCCAAGGGACGAGAGGGAGCTGGATTGGAGAATGCAAGACATTGGACGAGGGTGCTATGCAGATACGATGGAACATACACACAGCCTGCAGGTCACAGCGGTCTTTTGGGATACACGCAAGACTATCCAGGGTATGATCAATGGATCAACACAGGTCCACCAGTGAACCACCATCAGCATGAGCTACAGATTCAGGCGTACAACACCTTCCCCGACTATCCTAAGCCGCGGTACCCATCCAGTTCATACGACTGGAGGGAGTTAGCTCAACACCAAGTGCAGCAAGGAACAGGCATGCTGGAACAAGCCGGGCAGAACGCGATGGGAGAAACAGGTTGCTCTTTGGGCGGCGACCGTCAGCACGGGCTAATGAGACAGAGGAGGAGGAATGGAAAGACTTGGCGAACGTGGGTAGAGGAGGAAACGAGGAGACAAGATGTTATCACCAGATCCGAGGCGGATAGGTTGCGTAACCAAGATAGAGTAGCGAAAAGGTGGGGGGATGAATGTGATGGAGGGCATGGGAGGGATGATCCACCATCAGCGGCGCCGGTGATCGATATTCAGGTGGAGCTCTCAAAAACTTCTATCTCTTCTCAGTCCCGTGTCCGGATGGAGAGCGAGAAGGAAGAAGAGTCACTGAGCAGGGAACTCTCCTCCTCCTCAATGGAGAGCTCGGCGCACTCCAGACTGCAGCAGAGAGAAGAGAGGGGTGCAACCCTGAGACAGCAGCTCGACCGCAACAAGAGGTCGAATCTGATACACAAGGACCAAGCAGAAACGGTTAGGCGGAGGATTGTTCTGTTAGTATGTATGCAAGCAAGAGATGGCACCTACTTTCTAGCACTATGGAGCGCTGATGGGAGACCTTACATTCCATCGGAGAAGGTGGAGAGAGCACCAACCCACAGTGTGATACTGCAGAAAACAAGAAGTCTATACAAGGAACACAGTCCGATCAGAGTATACCCAAGTCTTCAATGATAAATATTATCTGCGAAACTTCTCAAGGGTATTACAAGTTGTATTTCCCATTATTGGATGCACGGATCCCCCCGGAATCGGCTGACTCGCTGACCCGGTTCGGGGTCCGCTAGTACCACATGGACGCTGTAAGGGAACGGAACACTCCGGAACTCGAGCAAATCACAGTTTTTAACGAAATCAGTGCCTTAATCCTGCTCAACCTCTGCGAGAAGCTGCCGGCGGATGAAGGACTGCAATCAGCATTCATGTACTCCATGCTGACAAAGGACTGGCCCACAAGATCACAGGCGACCTCCTCCCGTGGCAGCTCAAGAGGTAGCATACAGTCCCGGTCCATGCCACAGGCAGTGACGCCAGAAAGGTCTGCAAATCCGGACAACCAGCAAGTCGAACAAGCCGACCCCAACCGCATCCAACAGCAAGCGGCCATACAGCAGACTAATGGATAGACTCAAGATGGCCTCTTGGAACTCCAGGGCTTGGGAGACACAAGTGGGAGACAAAAACGGAGACGATTGAAAAACTGGGTACACGAATGGAGGATCAACTGTCTACTTATTCAAGAATCAAAGCTGAACGAAAAGAAACTACTCGAGCTGGGGAACTGGTGGGATGGGCCTCAAGTTTGGGCCCCCGCTCAGGGAACCAGGGGGGGAGTGGGAATACTAATCCACAGAGATCTGCAGATAAAGGTGATTGACTCAGAATATGATATATGGGGTAGATGGGCCTGGATCAGATTGGAGTCAGGGGGAGAAGAGTGGGCAATCATGACGGTCTACGTGCCTACAGAGGCAGGGGAGCGCGCGAGGTTCTTCGCCAGCCTTGTCTCACACATTCCAAAGATAGACAACCTGATTATAGCAGGGGACTGGAATCTGTCCTTGGACAAAGCCTTGAAGCCAGACTCAGCTACTGCAGGCAGGAAAGATGTGCAGAGACTCCTGGAGCTAGCATCAGAACTCGAGTTGGCGGACCCATTCAGGATCCTAAATCCCGGGAACCCAGGCTACACCTGGATGTCCCACGTGCATCGCAGAAGGGGGACGGTGTCCAGGCGAAGACTGGACTACTACCTAACCACAGAATCAGTCCTAAGTGGCGTCACGACAGTGCAGGAGGTCTGCAACCCGTTGTCGGATCACAAACCTGTGATTGCAGACATCAAGTTAAGTGTAAGCTCATAGCGGGGAAAGGGTTTCTTCAGGCTTAACGCACAGAACCTGGAGGACCCAGGTCTGGTGGAATGGGTAGATCAGCACATGAAAGAATGGGATGGAGGCAAGGATCTCTTCCAATCTGCAGAGGACTGGTTGGATGGGGGCATCGCTATCGTATCCAGCATGGTGAGTGTTTGCTCAAAAATTCTAGCAAAGACAAGGAACCGGAAGGAAGCGGAGTGTAAGAAAAGAGTAGAAGAGGCAGAAGAAAGGATGGAGGTGCATCCTATTTCGGCCTTGGTATGGGCAACAGAGCGGGGGAAGAGGATGGCAGAATGGGAAGACCTGCAATCAGAGAAGGAGCGAAGATGATCCGATCTGCTGAAGGAGAAAGGTATTGAAGTCAACGACAAGATGAACAAGGAAACTTTCCAAAAGCTGCTGCCTCGACGCTCAATGCAGCAGATGGTGGAACTCAGGCATCCCTTTGATGAAACAGCGCCTACGGCTTCCACGGCGACAGGGATGCTCGACTACGCTAGACTGTACTACGAGGATATCCTCACCACCCGCCGRCCGCAAGACAACATACACACCGACCTGACGGAGGTCTCGAGCTTGTGGGAGGACACGCAGGGGAGACTCCCACTTTCAGCAAAGCTAGATCTGGACAGACCTCTTATCTTCGAGGAGACCACCCAAACATTGAAGTCCATGGCGAAAGGCAAGGCGCCAGGTATCGATGGGCTGACGGTGGAGTTCTACTCCAAATGTTGGGGTGCGGTAGGACCACCACTGGTGGAACTCTACAACGAGGCGCTGATGGGAGGCAGGCTGGGTAAGAAGATGACACACGGTGTTATCTCGGTACTCTTCAAGAAGGGGGACAAAGCGGAGGTGAGGAACTAGCGCCCGATCTCCTTACTCAATGTCTCGTACAAAATCTTGGCCAAGACATTAGCAAGGAGATTAGGGAGGTACCTACCTGGGCTGGTGGAGAAAGACCAAGGTGCTTTCGTTCAAGGGCGCTCCATCTTCAACAACATCACAACCGCCATCGAGGTTCTGGAGGTGGTACAATCTGAGAACTTGGATACAGCGGTACTGCTGCTGGACTTGGAAAAGGCCTATGACAAGGTGGGATGGACGTTCGTCATGACCACACTGAAGCACATGGGGTTTGGCAGTGGTTTTTGCAAGTGGGTTATAGCTCTGTACACTCTCTCCACCTCGGCAGTAATGGTGAATGGCCTGCTGTCAGCCCCCTTTTAACTGACAAGGTCCCTGCGTCAAGGCTGTCCTCTCGCTCCTCTACTTTTCGTGCTCCAAATGGAAGTAATCCTCAACCGCATCAGAAAACACCCGTTGATCAAGGGCATCAACCTCAATGACTCAACGGAGTGCAGGGTCAAGGCCCTAGCCGATGATCTGTTTGCAGTATGCCAGAACACGGCACCCTCTTTTTCAGCCCTGGAGTCAGTCATGCAGGAGTACGCGTGGTTGTCAGAAGTTTCAGTAAACTGGTCCAAATCTTCCTACTTTCTGCCGACGCAGTTTAAGTTAAACGTAGAATGGGGAATGAGGATGACCGAGGAGGGTGAGGAAGAAAGATTCCTCGGAGTCTTGGTTAGTCTGCAAGTGGAAGCATCATCGCAGGGACTACTTCTTCAAAGTAGAATCGCAGCCAGACTGAAGTTATGGGGTTTTGCATGACATTTATCCCTGATAGGTCGGGCTCTAATGGCGAATGTGGCCCTTTTCTCAATCCTCTGGTTTGTTTGTGCAGTTCGTGAAATTGCAGCAGGGGTCATCTCGACGGTACGTCGTTTAGTGGCTCGTTTCCTCTGGAAGCCAAGTGTTAAGAAGGAAGAGGGTTTTGTAACCAAGGTGGCATGGGAGCTGCTCACCTTCCCACGAGCGCAGGGAGGGTTGGGTCTCTGGGACCCGGCACGAAAGAACCAGGCTCAACTAAGAACCTGGCTGGTTAAAGTGGCGACAACAGAGTCTAAGGAAGACTGGATCCTCCTGGCGGAGAGGCTGCTGATGAGAGAATGGGGGCTCAGCAGACCCGAGGACGTCTGGGTCTGCTTTTTTATGGAATCCTTCAAGAAAAAGAGACCGAAATCGCTGTTCTGGAAATCGATCCTGAGAGCCTGGAAAAGCCTGCCCCCTGACACGCCAACCCCCCCGCGCACGAAAGAAGAAGTGTTGGCCCAACCGCTGTTCGAGAACCACGCCATCTGCAATCCGGGAGGGCAAACCTTCCCTGCGAATGGTTCAGTGGCCACTTTCGGACTCGCCTGGCTGAAAAAAGGGGTGTCAAGGATAAGGGACCTGTGGTCCTCCTTGTTAGGCAGCTGGGAACCGTTGTCGGAAATGAAAACCCGGTTGCAAGGACTCAGGCGTGTAGAGGAAAACTGGCTTGCAATGCTCGAGGCCATACCGCAAGACTGGAAAGACATCCTGGGCCTGGAAGGGATGGACCCAATAGGCACGTGGTATGTGGCGGAGGACCGGGAAAGGGGGGGTACCGTTTGGAAGATTACTGAGATCCTGCCCAGTGGGTTCCGGATGGTGGAAAGCTGGCAATGTGAGGGGGAAGGGAACAGGWTGAGTCTTGTGGGGAACGAGGTAATCCAATGTTGGAGGAACCCCCCACAGGCTCGGATTGTAGAACGCCATGAACCAGGCAGTCAGGCGGAGTCGCTAGTCTGGATCGACCGCTCCCCGCTCAGGCAACTGCGCATTGACCCCCTAGCATGGAGTTGGAGCAGGCAAAATTCAAATGGCGCAACAGCTGGCCCGTTGTTCCTGTCCGAGTACACTACAAGAGAAGGATATGTACTTGCGAACAAAGTTGTCATATCCCCAGCATCTGTGGCAGTATCAAGATGGTCCAAGGTGTTGGGGGAAACTGCTGCACCAACAGAGCCCAACTTCGAAAGGCTGTGGAAGGAGCTGGAACTCCTTCCAAACGATAAGCAAGTGAGCATTCTCTGGTTGTTGTCTCTTCTGGTAACCCCTTCCACAGTCTGGCTGCAGAGCAAAGGGGTATTGGTTGAACTAGGATGCTCAAGATGCAGGTGGCCGTTTGAGTCCACTCGGCACCTGTGGTGGGAATGCCCCGCATCCAAACGAGTGTGGGAATGGTGGGAACATCACTGGAAAGAGTTGGGGGGGCGCAATTGAGGTGGGATGAGCGCTGGGTCCTGCTGGGTTTTCTGCCCACAAACCTGAATGGAAAGAAAGGTTGGGGCTACATCGCCCAAGTGACAAGGGGCATCATCTGTGAGTGTATCTGGGCAGATAGAAACAGGGCGAGATTTGAGAAACGCCCCTTGTCGGATGCTGAGGTCAAGAGCAGAATCAAGGACGACCTCAAACACGCCATCAGGGCAGATTGGCGAAGGAAAACCCGGGCATGGAAAGGTAGCAGGAAACAGAGAACCTGGTTCCTCCGTACCTAGGCGCGAGATAACCGGTTGGCTGCAATTCACTCAGTTCGAGGGTAAGTAGTTTTAAAATGGATCATGGAGTAGGAGCTAGTGAGCTAGAGGGGCAAGTCCTCTGCTGTGGCAGAGAACCTCTGAGTGATCAGGGCACTCGGTCCCACAGAGGTGCTGTAGGTTAGGCAGAGTGGCCACCCACGAACCAGGACACTCGGTTCAGTAGGGCCGCGGTGGGCTGCTTAGGTAAGTGTCTTTAGAACCGGAAGTCTTCCTCTGGGCCGCGTTAGTCCCAGACCATTATTTAGGAGTAGCTAGCCTTTACGGTCAATAGATAGCAATGTTATGTTAGGCATGGGGAGTAAAACAGGTGCAGAAATAGGGAGTTAAATCCTAGTAGAACACGTGAGCAAATTGAACGTTAGCCAAAGTCAAGTGAAATTGTGCTGATGATTAGTTTCTGTAACATGGAATTATAGTAGTTCTGGGTTCCGCAGGCAAAGCCTGTAAGCTAAGTTGGCTGATGCTGTCAAATACCCCGGGTTGAATTGTGAGGTCCCCGACCTCGATTCTGTCATTATAATGAATGGGATACGTTAAAAAAAAAAAAATAAAAAAAAAATCCTATAGAGGGATAAAGCGGACCAATCCCCCGTGCCTCCCCTCAGGCCCCTCCCCTACGAACATAGCAGACTCTGCTTGATGCCGATCGGGGGATCCAGTGGTCTATCTCTTGGGTAGCGGGTGCCAAGTAAGCCCAGGAACCGGCTGTCCCCTGGCCGGTATCCTGCAGGCTCGAGGGGTCGTAAAAACACGGCTCTGGTATGCTACGGGTTTCCCCGTATGCCTATAGGTAGGAGTAGTGGTAGGTAGGTACTGTAAGGAAAAAATTGAGAGAAAAAAATAAAAAAAAAAATCCTATAGAGGGCGTAGATCCGCTGTCCTGATTGGTTGCGTTACTATGGCAGCTGGGCTGCC